GTTGCTACTTTATTTGGATTAGATTAAGAGTTTCCTCACTAAATCAAGGCAAAAGCAAGATGAAAATTGAAACTTTCTTCTCTCTTTTTTTCTCTCTAAAAGTCAGCCAAAAGGAAGGAAAAATGGAAGAGTTTTTGGTAAAATGAAAGATAAAGATGGAAGAAAGGTCTTGGTCAAAGATGATTTTGATTGCCAACATTTAGCATCCAACTATTTTCCCTCTTTTTTTTTTCTTTTTTTCCTCTCTTTTTTCCTTCAAAATTTTGGCCAACACCCTAAGAAATATAGGGAAGGGAAAATAAAAGAAAAAAAATAAGAAGATTAAAGAAAGAAAAGTCTTGGTCAAGGGATGTCTTGAACCGATGACAAGTGGCGAAAGTCGGTTCAAACTTATTTCTTTGTCTCTTTTGCGTTTTTAGCATATGTTTCACTAATTCACTCTTAGCACTTTTAATCACATAATTTCTCTTACTTATTATCCGCTCTTATCCATTAAATTTAGTGCACACACCTCACTATTTGATCACACTACCACAATGCACCATAACCTTAGCATGCACCAACTATAAAAATAAAAATTAAAACTCTCGACTCTATCGTTAAAAATAGTTACAAAAATTAAGACAAGTAAATTAGTATTAAAAAAATTATTAATTAATTATCAAAATAATGAAAACTATAAGAAAATATAAAAAAATTTTCAATTCCTCACAATGGTTGGACCATTTTAATGCATAAAACCCTCCATAGACTACTACTATTACATTACTTGTACTTTATCTCATAAAATATTTTAATAGGCACATTATACCCTTGGTCAACTAAAAAATGATTGAAAAATTAACTCACCAAATAATTGATGAGAGGATCAATTTAGCCTTCTTTAAAAGCTTAAATGGCAAACATCCTTTTCAACATAAGTAGATAACGTCCCAAGTGAATTCAGCCAAAAGTTTCGTCGTCCTCTCACGTGCCAAGGATTTGGTCGTTTTTCACGTGATTCGTCGTTCTCACGTGACCTCCGTTGTTTTGTGTCTAGCGCATTGCGCGAGGCCTAGGTCAGACTAAAAACGCCGCCTCTCTTCTCTTCTTCCTTTTCTGTTCTCTTTTTTTTTTCCCGTTCTTCCTCTTCCTCTCTCCTCTCTCTATTTTTTCCTCAGACTCTCTCCGTTCCCTTCTCCTCCGCCGAGACCTGGGTTAGACTAAAACGCCGCCTCTCTTCTCTTTTTCCTTTTCTCCTCGTTTTTTTTCCGTTCCTTTCTCTTCCTCTCTCCCTCTCTCTATTTTTTCCTCGGGCTCTCTCGGTTCCCTCCTCTTCCGCCGCCATATCATCTCCCTCTCCGACACCCAACATCACAACTGCCCCATCTCCCACCAGCCCTGGGATTCCCCCCTCCGCCTCCCTCCGTTTCAAGTCATCGTCGCTACATCCCCTCCCGGGATCTCCATTCCCTCGTCTTCACTTTATTTTAAAATTTTTTGCTCCTCTTTTTTTGTTTTTGTAGGTTGAATATCAATATCAGGTAGTATTTCGGTATTTTTTTTGGCTTTTCGGTTCTTTTTCTGTTTCACTGTCTACATGGGAAATTTTTTTTTTGTGCAACATCACAACTGCCCCATCTCCCACCAGCCCTGGGATTCCCCCCTCCGCCTCCCTCCGTTTCAAGTCATAGTCGCTACATCCCCTCCCGGGATCTCCATTCCCTCGTCTTCACTTTATTTTTAAATTTTTTGCTCCTCTTTTTTTGTTTTTGTAGGTTGAATATCAATATCAGGTAGTATTTCGGTATTTTTTTTGGCTTTTCGGTTCTTTTTCTGTTTCATTGTCTACATGGGAAGATTTTTTTTTGTGATGTTATATCTTGAAATTCTAGGGCTTAATAGCTGATCATTTAGTGGTTTTTTTTGTATATTGACTGGTTGTATTTTTTTTTTGCTTATTCAGAGGATTTTTTTGTATATTGACTGGTTTGCTCTCGGCCTCCTCTTCGCCTGCGCCTCCGCTAAAGTCTTCTTCGAAGAGCGTTTCGATGGTATCTTCATCTCCCGATCTCTCCCTCTGACTTCTACTTGTTCTTTTTGTGAATGTTGAAGTAGTAATTGAGTTTGGTTTTCAGTTATTTCCAATTTGTCTTAGCTTTACTTGTCGAAATTAATTTGTGGAAGATCGGATTTGGATTAGCGGTTGATGTATGGATTCCAGTTTTCAGATTGGATGATTTGAAATGTGAATGGAATTCTGGTCTCTTGCCTAGATCTGTTGATTCTGTCCATATGAAGTTGAGACTTGGATTTCTTTTTGATGATTCGATGTAATGGGTTGTCGGATGTAATTGATCTTTTTTATTTGTATGTGAGGACTGTTTTCTGGGCAGTACACTTGCTTCCCGGATGTTGCTTGGTTACTAGATAAGTTAGAGGTGTGATTTTGTGCGATTCCAGGGGGATGATGGTGATGTTATATGATCTGTTTATTTAGCTTTCCAGTTGAGATGTTTGGAAAGAATTGAATATGTTAACGGTTTAACAATGTTATTGTGTCGGTTCTAGGTGGCTTTGAACAATGTTTTCGTATTGCTGATGGTTAGTGTTATCAACTGCACATTGTTTCAATTGGACGAATATGTTTCTGTAGAACAATGTACAATCATGTCAGTTTGTTTTTGTGTTTTGGACACCCCACTTGTGCTAGACTAAGGGAGGAATGTTGGTAGATAGCTTTCTTAGATATCATTTTTTGTCCAAAAGGAAGTCTGTTAAAATGTAAAAGCAGTTGCTATTTGATTTTTGTACTAAAATGAATGTAAAAGCAATTTCTATTTGATTGTCGTACTAAAATGCTTTGTGCTGATAAACACTTTTAGATTGCACATGCATGTGATTGTAGTGTACTTCTATGAATTTCATATTACCTTGTGTATTGGAAAGTGTAGCATCTCTTTTTAAATATGTGATTACACGTGACTATTCCTCAAATCAATTTTGAAACAAATACTTGGACTGCATAGGTAGTGCCAAGTCTTTCTTTTCTCAGAATTCAAGTGCCAAACTGTCCATATGTTAACCCTTTAAGGTTTGATGGAATCCAAATTAAGTGAAAATTTTCTTAAGTACTTGTAAGTCTTATAGCATGACTTGATGTATCATGTCCTGTAGCTTCATCATAATTGAAGTATTTTTCCACTTTTTTGCTTATTTTGAGGTATTTGCTTCTGTCAAATGTTGAAGAAAAATTTAAAGATGTGTTGACTACAACTCGGTTTCAAATTATATCTAATTTGATTTTTTTATTTGTTATTTGTAATATATTAAAAATTAATTACTTCCTGATTATTTTGTCATGCCTTGAATAGATTGAGGCAGTTTTCAGCAACAACAAGATGTACAATGCAGAGATGACTGTTGTGATGGCGAGTCGAAGTTCAAATTACTGCTTGTAAGATTTTTCTCCAAATATTTTTTTTATCTGGTTTTCTTTTAATTTGCAGAATTAGGTAACGTTGTCCCAATGTATATCTACAAGCTCATTACTTATTTCTTTTTTCTTTCTCTAATTTCTGACATCATAAGAAAAAGATTATTATAACAATGACAGACAAACCGTCCTTGCTTAGAGGAAACAGAGAAAGGAAACAGTTAAAGCAAAAAAAAAAGAAAAAGAGAAAAGGTTGAAAAAACTATACACTTTTTTACTCTATGCTGACTTGTGATGTACTTCCTGCGCCTAAGTGTATCAACATGAATTAATATAGTTGATGAACATGTTCTGTTATTGAATCAAAGCTGCTTTTAAATGTGATTGGATATACCTTTCCAGCAAAATGAAGTTCTTTCATGTCAAGAATTAAATGAGAATGAGACAGGCAGACCTTGATAATTGTCTACTCCATGAGGGTTTATATGTGTAGGTTTCAAAAAAATTAATGGTCCTTCTATCCACTTTGATAACAAAACTAATTAACTTTTCCTAAATTATTGGGTTGCAATCACTTGTTTATGCCAAGTTCTAAATAATTATATACAGTGTGTACAGACTAGGAATTCATTGGCTAAGCAGTAGGAATTCATTGGCTAAATTTATACCCTGTGATTTACATTGTAGGTTCAACAAGCTTTTTCAGACTTGGAGAGGTGATTTTCCATTTGAAAAGATTGTCTATTCTTAGTTCCAGCTTTATTTTGCTATTGCTAACTGTTAACTGAAATTTTCTTTTGATTTTTTTTTGGGTTTCTAATGGCTTCCTTGAAGATCTGTAATTTATCTTCCTTCATTCTTGGCTATTATTCCTTTCCTTGCATGTTGCTTATTAATTTTTTTCTGTGCTGCCTTTGAACTTTGGATGGTATAAAAGTTGCTGAAGGGCTTTCTTTTGAGGAATGTTTGCTTGGCTAAATAATATATTGTTGTTGGGAATTGGCCAGAACTGTCAAATGAATCTCTTTTTAACATTTTCTTCTAAAAATTTTCTTGATGAAAGCTAAAAAGTTTGTCAGTTCAAAACTAACTGATCTTTCAGCAAAGTTGTTGTTGTTTTAATATGCATGATTAGGATTGATCATTACGTATTGGCAAAAGTAACTTATTTGATGCAGTACTGATAGGTATACGGTCATGTTGACATCTTGCATAGCACGTATTCAGGTTGAGTCACTAGGTCAAATGAATGTTTAAGTTTCACAGTTTGAGGTACCTCCTCTTAAATGCTCTGACCCAAGGGCTAATCATGATATTTTATCTGTTTACCTGCAGGGGTCGTGGATATCTTGTACCAGACGATGTCTACAAGGTAATAGTTTGCAGATGACCTTTTTCTTGTATTCCCTTCTAGAGAAAGCATTGCATTTAGTTTCAGCTGGTCAATACATGTTTCTACTACTCCGTTTCTTCCGCCAGCCATCAATTTGAAAAGTACGCTATCCATGATCAATGTTTTCAGGGGTTGGTGAAGATTGGAATTCCACTTGACTCTCCTACATTCTACACTGTCTGCGAGGTATGACAATACTGTTATCTTGTTAAGTGCCTAGATTTTATCAAAGTTAGGATTTTGAACATGTTACAGAAGTTGGAGGCAGATTCACCAATAGGTAAGGCATTAATATTTATAGTACTGTTTACTATGATTGTTAGGTGTAAGTTTCACAATACAATTGGATAAATGTTTGAGTTCTGATGATATTCTTTTATTTACTTGTGAGGTGATGTGAACTGCACCCTCCCCTCCCAACAAAAAAGGCTAATTAGGATGGAGATTGAGCAAACTTCGTGTATGTTACCTTCTATTTTATATACAATCTCCAGTTTCTCTTAGAATAGTGAGGATTTACATGCATATAGCAAACCTGTTACCTTTGAAGTACTCTGATGTTCAACTGATTTGTGTTTTTAAATGATCTGAACAGTGTGTGTTTCAATGATTTGACACTCAACCGATTTGTGTCTTAATGATCTCACACTTTGCCACTCAACTGATTTGACCTGTTATCTAAATCTTCAGTTTCTGAACACTTATCATGATTTGTGTTTTAATGATCTGAGGGTTCGGAGCCAACTTGCAGTTGATGTGCTCTGACTAATTTTTACCTGGAGTTTACTTGTGCTTTATGTGCTCTGACTAATTTTTACCTAGAGTTTACTTCCGCTTGTTGACACATGGAAATGTTCATGTTGTAGGCTGAAAAAGCTGCTTTTGATGAGGCAGAAAATAAGAGAGAGGAGGAGGTACTTTTCATTAATTCTCCTTTGTTGCATAATGTCTTGAGTACATTTGAATTCCATTTCTGTATAGTTTGGACTTTGGACTTCCTTTATACTGCATTATTTGAATAGTGATCATTTGATTATGAAGAGACAACTTATATCTCAAACTCCTGTCTGATTTTGTTTCAGGAAGCAAAGGATGACCCAGTTGATTCTGATGTAAGTTCCTGACTAAAATGTTGTTCTCAAAAGAGACTCTTTTTGCTCCAGATTTTATTTGTGATATGTTCTTATTGCATGCACTTTCTTATTAGGCTGAGGAAGGCGATGATGATGATGCTGCTGATGAAGCAGATAGTGATGATGAAGACCCCAAATCAGAAACAAAGGAAGATGTTACTGCCGCAGCTGAGGAAAATGTTAAAGTTAAGGCTTGTCTGATCTTTCAGTGTTGAGTTAACTATGATGACTTGTTATCAGAAATTTGAATTGTTTTAACGTTCTTACTTCCACCCTTTTGCAGGACGAGCTGTAGGAAAATACGTACGAGTGCAGTTGTTGGCCAAACATGGTGCTGCGAAGAAGAGCTTTACTGGCAACTGAGCTTTGGACATTTTCATTTCCTTTTAGCTTTTAACTGTAGAATTGCTGTTTAGGGGAAAAAAAGGATATGGAGGCTGCATGAACTTGGTGTTGCGATACTTCTTTATTCTCATCTGGCTCAGCCATTAGAACCAAAAGAGAAACATGCCTGTTTTAGTTTTAGATTTATGAACAGTTTGGACTTGGAACATTAGCATTGTTAAGATTGATTTATTTCGTAGTTTTCAGCATTAGTCTGACATGGATGCTCTTTCATGTTTTGGAATTAAAGCCCCATTCCGTCAATTTGTTAACTAAGCTGTAAAACTAAAACCCCTTCCACAACCGTTGGCCAGCTTTGACCCTTTGAGAAAGTGTAAATTATTTCCCCCGTTCTGATTATTCCTTTTCTTAACATTAGTCCTTAACATTTTTTTATTAATAAACGTATGATAAGTTGGTACCATAGTAACACAGGAATAGCCTTTTATACAGTGACTATGTTACATTGAAAAATATAAATTTAAGCTTAAAACTTACAACCAATAACTAGCATTCAAATACTTTTAATAATAGGCCTAAATAAAATACAAAAAATGTTAGGACTTAAGAAAACACTGCAATTCTATACCACCTATTAATGACACTCAAAATCAAAATGGAAGCTAACAAAAACGTATGATAAAAAAAGATAAATATTTGATGGAATGACAATATTAAAATGAATTTATAATTTTTTTAAAGTCTGTTATTGTTTACCTCTCACTACTAAATAAGAATAATTGATTACAAAATTAATAGTTTAGATGTAATAGACATAGAAAAAAATTTTGAAAGAAAAATCAAAATTCTTAATTTGGAAAATTATTAAACAGTCGTGCCTTGAAAAGAAACTACAGAAATTTAAATGTTGGTCTGTTAATTATAATCATAAACAAGAAGAACTTGTGGGGTACTTTTTCTTTCCTTACTCTGTATTATATACTACATTGGCTCCATTGTTTCGTCAGAAATGGTTTTCTAAAAAATATAAATTGCCAATTGCCATTCACCAAATGCATTGTTAGAAACATTCAAGAAATATCAACAAAACTTCAGACTTGTAGAATACATATACTTAAAAATATACTTTTCTACATAAATTATTATTTTGATTAGTTCAAGACTGGGCAGGGCATTTTATATTTCTATCGCGCGAAGCGCGTTCATGCCTCCTAGTTGGTAAGAAATAGTTAAGGGGCGCAAACTTTCAGTCACACGAAGTCACGAACCACCTCCGCCGTCGCCCCCGCCCCAAAAACCCGATCAGAAAATTCTCATTTCAGCTCCTTTTTCCGGCGACAACAAAATGAGCAGCCCGTTATAGATAGGGGTGGCAATCGGGTCGGGTTCGGGTTGGCGGGTCGGGTTGAGGCTTAAGTATAACAAGGAACCTGCTGACCCGAACCCGACCCGCCAACCCGAAACGGGTCAGGGTACCTGACACGAACCCGAAAATTTCGGGTTGGCGGGTCGACCCAAAATGACCCGAAACTTAATTTTAATTTATTAATTTATCACTGTAATTTCTAATAAAATCAATTTTTCACAAAATTAATTACATCATCAAGTAATAAAAATTTAAATAAATAATTTCAAACCAAATCTAAAATAAATTAAGCACCATAAAAGTGTTTTATCCCAAACCAAATATAAAATAAATTAAAACAGCATAAAAGTAAAAAATAACATAATATATTATTTGTCAAAATATAATAATTTTAACTTCACACAAGTTAAATAAATTCATTTAGGATTAAGTAATTAATGTCTTTGGAAAAAAAGAATGATTTAGTTTAGTTAGATAAAATAATTTTAATGTTTATTAAATTAGTTTTAATTCGTAAACGGGTCACATCGGGTCATATCAGGTCACCACGGGTTGACCCGAAATTGACCTGTTTTTTTTTCGGGTTCATCGGGTTGGACCCGATTCTGACCCGAACTCTCGAAACCTCAACCCAAACCCATTAATTTCGTGTTAGGTTCGTGTCGTATTTTCGGGTCGTGTCAGGAATTGCCACCCCTAGTTATAGACCCCAACGAAAGGAAAGAAGAAAAGTTTTAGAAATCCTATTTCTGCTGCTGCTACTAGCATACTGCTACCACCACTGCTACTATTTTCGTAGGACAGAAGTACCTCAAAGTTTCACTCATTTCTATATCGTCTTCCGCAACGATGACGATCCACGCCGCAGTGATCCAAAAGCTCCTCAGTACAAACGCGCATTTGGGTCGCCGGGTCGCAGCTCACCACTTCAAAATCTACTCTTGCGGCTCCCGGAACGCCATGACTATAATAGACTCCGACAAGACTCTTATTTGCCTCCGCAACGCCTGCAATTTCATGGGCAACCTCGTCAGGTTAAAAGGGCGGTTTCTTTTCGTCAATACCAACACCCTTTTTGACGAAATCATCGAGGAAATGACGAAAGCCATTGGGATTAAGAATGACAAGTCGTGGCGTCTTGGAGGCTTTTTAACAAACAGTTCGAGTCCCAAAAAGTTTCGCGGCCGGAATAAGAAGTTGAACTTGGGAGCCATTCACGCTCCTGATTGTGTGGTGATTTTCGATACGGAAAGGAAGTCTTCGGTTATTTTGGAGGCTGAAAGGTTGCAAGTTCCGATTGTGGGGCTTGTTGATTCGAGTATGCCGTGGGAAACTTATAAGAAGATTACTTATCCGGTGCCTGCCAATGATTCAGTTCAATTTGTTTACTTGTTTTGTAATTTGATCACGAAAACTTTTTTGTATGAGCAAAGAAAAATGAAGGCTGCACAAGGGGCAGATGATTCAACCGCTGGAACTCGGTATGAACTCTACCAGTTTTACTTTTTGGGTTCATTTTTGTATAATTTATCAGATTTTTGCTCCTCGTTTCCCTGAATTTGTGGAGTTAATCTGATCTTTAATATTTTTCTTGGTATATATTAGTGTTCAAGTTCAAGTCTGTGGGAGTATTACATTTTTTAAACGAGTGAGACAATTGAATGATTGCAATCAATTCTGGCTCTAAAATTGGACTTTTAAGTTAGATTGTCATCTATTTGTTTGAGCCGAAGTCATGGCATGGTATGTTGTGAAGATAATGGTATCTGGCTGACATAGCTGCAGTAATGCTCACTGATGATAGAATGAAACAGCTCTTTGTACACTTTAAAACTGTTTTCAGTTCTCAATTTCCATCTGGAATTATTATGGCGCATGATTTTGCATACTGAATTTGGTGCAAAGCTTGGTATTTTGTCTATCATATACAAATAATAAAAGGGAGAAAAAGAAAAGGCTCAATCTTGCACTACATTCTGGAAATATCTTCTGGTCTCATCTTGTTGATTTTGTGAATATTGAATGGCACTTGTTTTAAGCATTATACTAAGCTTACTCGTTGCCACATAAAAAAGTGAATTGTGTATAGTTAATTTCTCAGCTTTGATAATCTTGTTGGGACTGCAGCGACTCTCTGTGCTCCTGTCTTGATAATGTGTTCTTTTGCTAATTGATTGGGTGCAATACGTTGTTGTCGGCACATTCATGGAACTTGAAATTTCAAACTATATCATTATTATTGAGTTTTTGAAGTTTATACTTTATGTTTCAATAACATAAGAGTCTCCAAAGGTCATTTGTTAAGTTTTGGGTTTTCTTCTGATGACTTATGTACTTGAATTTTGGACAAAAATGACATGTTCTTAGGGAGGATGATTTACAAATTGAGACTGCTAGCAAGAGGGGTAAAATCTTTGTTCTTCCTTATGAAAGCCTGCAGCCTGCTCCTGAGGGTAATTGCTTTATTCACACTATACATGCTTATTGATCTACAGCCTTTTATTCAGATAACTGGACGAGGGCAGGGTATTTTGTCATTCTCCTTGTGTTAATTCTTTTCTGTGCTTTTTTGCTATAGCAGATGTCTCAGACTTGAAGCAGCTGCTGGACAAAGCTGTGGTGTTGAAATTCAATGGAAGGCTGGGGACAAACATGGGTCTTAATGGGCCCAAGTAAGATTTTGACTCCAATAAAGTTTGCATTTTTGTAACTGTCTGTATTAAACAACTGAATATTAATCTAGGGATCATAATCAATCCAATATATCAATGTGTTTCTGTCCCCTGTGGGGAACGACATTGTTTAAAACAATTATACTTGTTAATAGATATACTAATTTGAAATATCTCTTATGGGACAATAATGTTTGATATGTAATCTCATGATGCCTTAGAATATTATTAATTGGTATGGGAGTAGATTGTTTGGCATGCAATTTGCAGCAAGTACGCTCTGACCTGTTGATCATGCAACTAATGAGATATTTTACTGTTGTCTGACCAACAAAGATTGATATGTTGTAAAAGGATGTCTCAGGATTTGACATTAACTCTATAGATATCTAGCTTTCATTTTGCATCAAAACTCATATATTGTTCCACATGGAAGTCATTTTTGTTATTTGATATTTTTTCATGTTGATTTTTTTCTATTTTTCTTTTTGTTTGCTTCTGCAGGTCTACCATTGAAGTGCAGAATGGAATGACATGTCTTGATTTGGTTATCAATCAAATTGAGGTTTTTCTTCAGTTTCCTCTATTAATACTCTTTGCGTTTAGCAGAGTGTAGTTCATCATATACTCACTTAATTCTTTTGAGGCTTCTTACATATGATAATCAAATGGTATTTGTTGTTGTAGTCCCTCAATGCTAAATATGGATGCAACATTCCCCTGCTTCTGGCGAATACAGTTAATACGCATGATTCTACCTTAAAGGTGACTGATCTAAGTGCTTTCTAGTATGCTGATTGAGATTGGAATTCACCAGGAAGTTTATCCTCTTCACTTCACACTGTCAGGTTTTGCAGCAACACACGAACAAAAATATTCATGCGTTTCTCCAGGTTTTTCATAGTTAGCCTATTTAATGTGATTGTATAACATCTAACTCACTTTTTGTTGTACATGCTAATTTATTTAGTTCCTGAATATGTAATATCCTAATGCAGAGTGAAGAGTACGAGGATGATTCAGATGAAGCTCCACACCAGGATAGAATGTATGTCAGTTTTCTTTTGTTTTGGTCGTTTGTGCTTATGAGCTCATTACGCTTCTGAATTGAGTTGATGGAGCTCAATAATTTGTAAAAGGGCACGTTGTGAAGTAATTGGGAGATACTTGATGTCCTTTGATATGTGAAATTGCTGCAATTGATCTCTGTTGACCAACTCCTTTTACAGTAAAATCTCCGCATCTTGATGTGTTCAGGTTTCATATGATTACTGAAAGAATAGTAACAAAGTTGGCCCTAAACTCCCATTGAATGTTCAGTGTAGGCATTGCATGGCTTGTTGCATGTGAATGATGTGATGAACTCAAGGCACTCATTTCAAGTCCAAAGCCTTAGCCTTTTCTTCCCAATGAAGTTCTCTGCTTGAATTGATTAGTAGAACAAGTTCTGTGCTCCCCCTCTTCTCCTCCCTCCTTGCTAGGTCCCATTTATTATGTTGATCTGGCCTTGCATTTTTTAGTTGGATTAAGGTTTATGTTTTATAGCTTTCATGTCCCTCTTATGAGCTACTACTGCTTGTTAACGATGTCTGTGTAGCAACTAGTTGATTTAAGTTGTTTTTCAAATCAGTGGGATCGAACTCTAACTTCAGATGATTTCAAGACCAATTCCCGTTTTAATACTTTTGTGTCTGTACATTTATGTAATATCAACATATTGAATGTTAGGCATTACATCCAGTTTTTATTCTTCCGAAATATCTGTAAAGCATCAGGTTTCTAGTGTTTGTTAATTGTTTCTGCATTATAATTTGTAAGATTTCAAACACTTATTCTATGGTGAATTATGATATATGGCATGAAGGTATGCGTCCAGTCACAGTGAAGTTTATCTTTCCTTGAAGAACAGTGGTAAACTTGATGTTCTATTATCTCAGGTGGAATATCCTGCCCATGTCTTACCATTTTCTATCTCCAATCTACCATCTATATTTCAGTCAATTTTGCAATTAATTAACATGTCTTTCTGTCTTTCTTTTATTTTTTACCAGGGTAAGGAGTATATTCTTGTACTGAACTCGGACAACCTAGCTCAGGTTATTGAGCCCAGTATCCTTTGGTGAAGTATTTTTTGACATTTTCAGGTTCTCAAAATTTTCATTTCTTATTTCTTTGGCATTCAAGTCCAGGATAACTCTGCATCATTTGCAGTGACCTGGTTTATCAAATAGGTAAGTGCCTTAATGCGTGTGACAGAAATAATAAGTCATTTGGTGCAGAACAATATCGAAACTTGTATGGAGGTAGGGAGAAAACTGCTGCCATTTTTGTGCTCTGTTACTCTTTTTACAGTTTCTAACTTTTTTTTTTCCCTTTTTCCAGGTAATGCCTGCCTCCTCAGATCTGGAAGTAAAGGAGGTTCCATCTCATGAAGGAAAATATGAGGTTTGTTAATTTCTGTTTTTGGAACTATGCCTTCATCAAGTAAATCAGTGCTCTTAAACTATATAGACGTTAAGGAACTTCTTGTTATTAGCCACATTGGTGATGAATCAGGATGACAATGATAACACCATTTACATGTCTCTGATTTTGGAGTCGTCATCTCCACATAATTCTTGATCGATTTAGTTTTCCCTTTGCAGCTTTAGTGAGTCATAGCTTGATAAATTTGGTGTTATCTATAGTGTCCCGTGTATGGTCAAAGACCATCGATGAATGTGAATAGAAAAAGATTTTTAAAAAATGAAAGGAAGAATGTTGACCTTCTGAATTATAGAATTCCAAATTGTTGTATCTGAAGGGAGTTTATACTATTTACCGCAATATCTGCTGGGACGTTAGATTATAAGAATAAATTACTTGTGCAAAAAATGTTCCATTGATGGTAAAGCTGACAGCAGGTCGATGATGCCAATTAGAAATTTTCTTATCTCTTCCTTTCTTACTCTTTTTATGTCTGGTTATCTTGCTTTCTAAAGCTATCCATTTTGTACTTTGTGAAAACTTGAGGACTTTGGATAGATAATCTTGGATCAGTAGGGTGCTTGTCTAGACTTATAGATATGATAGGCAATACATAGATGCTTCTTTCATTTTCTAGTAGAGATGGATTTTATGGGAGATGTAGGTGGTGTTTGTCTGAGAGAGACATATCTTAAGAAATTTGAACACAAAATAGCATTGTTCTTTTAGGAGCCACCTAGCAGCATACTAGGAGTATCCAACTGGAATCTCAAATGTGTACATGCTTCAACTAAATTCAGACCTTGTATAGCTGGAGTCATAACCTTCCAACGACAGACTACCCTTGATGTGCTCTTTTCTCTCATTTGACATCTTACTTGGATTCCACTAATTTCTTAATTAGATCTTGGACAAAGCTAATGTGTTTTTGATTTTTTTTTGCTGGCAATTTGAAGTCGAAGGAGAATCTGAAGTTTACTGATACCGTGTAAGTAATCAGCAAATTATACTATACTCGTTAAAATCAGATTGGTGAAGAACTTCGGCCACTGATTAGTCCTGTTCTTGAACAGTTGGGTGAGTATGAACTCCATTGAAAGTCTTATGCATAGTTCTCTCGTTGAGAGCTCTGCTATTTCCGAGGTACCAATGCTTTATCTTTACTGGTAGTTTCTGTGAATTCAATGATTATTCTCATATCTGTCATGTTGCTATACCAATTCAGAGTTGTTTGCTACTGTTATATACAAAATCTTTGCTTGTGGGCTTTGGCCATCCATTGTACGCCTGGGGCCAAATAAAAATTGTTAATAGTATTTTGAATATCTTCATGATTAAATGTTTTTGCATATTCTTATTGCCATCTGTACTTTTTCCAGTTTTTTGACCAGGCATCTGCAATAAGTGTTCCAAAATCAAGATATCTTCCAGTTGAAGCAACATCCGATTTACTTCTGTACCAGGTTGTAATAGGGCTTCTTGCTTGCAGTTTTATAATTTGACATTTTAGTTTTGAGGAGTTCTTATTAACAAGATTTTGTTCGTTGGCAGTCGGATCTTTATAGTTTTGATGAAGGCATTCCTACACGGAGCTCAGCCAGAACAAATCCTGCTGATCCTCTGATTGAATTAGGACCCGAGTTTGCAGATGTAATGACTTTAAATTTCTAGTTGTTTAGAATGCCGCATCCAATTTGTCTAAAGATAACCTGATTCTGTTTTCCAGGTTACTGAATTCCATGGTCGTTTTAAGTCAATGCCTAGCATCATTGAGCTTGATGCATTGGAGGTAACTGGTGATGTATGGTTTGGAAGTGATGTAACTCTGAAGGTATGCAATTGCTCTCCCTGCCTCTGAATATCCAGCTTCCACTTCTGGGATCTGCAGAAATTATACTTGCCTTCTATAAATGTCAGGCTAAGTTTTTTCCTAGTGGATCCATACATTCATTATGTTCATAATTTCTTTTTCAAAATTACATGTTTCAAGTCTTTTTTGATGTTAATCAAGCAGAACATCCAATCTGAAATTGAAGTAATCTTACTTTTCGTGCTTTACAATCAATTCTCAGAAAATTTTAATGAATTTAATTGGTTAATATCCTTAAAGGTGATGCAATGTTCAGCAATCAATCTTTTAATGCAATGTAAACTTTTTTGGGAATCTAAACATTACTCTCTATCTTGTGACTACATTTAACCAATCTTATTGCATGGTAATGTGGATGGTTCTTTCTTGTGTCAACTCTTTCATAACTCATAGTTGAAGAACGATCTATTTTTCTCTTATCAAGGTAGTAGCTATTAACCAACATTCATATAATGTTGTAATATTTACGCGGGTTTGCATCCGGAAGTAAATATTCAATAAACTTCTGAATGTATAGAAATGAGGGCAATTGATGGTGTTTATTTTTCAATGAGTAGAGTTTCATTGACTTATAATTTGCATTATTATCAAAGCTTCTTGTAAATGTTTCGTTTACTAAATTCTGGTTTAGTAGCATTAAATGCATGTTTACTCTCCCCAACCCCTCAAAAAATAAGAGGAAGAGTTATTTTTCCGAGGAATATTAGGTACAAGAGTTAGCATTATAACTCAAACATAGTTAGATAGTAGACTTTTCTTCTTAAATGAATAATAAACTGTTGCAGGCACATGATTTTCTGCGTCTATTATTAAGCAGTTCCAGAACACTGCCTTGGGCAGAGAAAATATGTTTTTATCTGCATCTGTGTATCAACGTAAACATTATTGTTCCTAAAGAACACGGCATTTTCTCCTCTGAAAGAATTTTCCATTTTATCAGTTTATCTGTTGAGTGTATTTGATTTCATATGGTTTCTTAGAAATTTTCCTTGTCCGGTGGATGCACTCTTGCAGGGGAAAGTTAGCATCCACGCAAGACCAGATGTAAAGATGGTAATTCCTGATGGAGCAGTACTTGAAAACAGGGTAAGGGGTGGCAGCTCAAATTTGCATATCGTTTTATAGATTTGGACTCTAAGGCTGAATGAGCTCTTTTTCCATGTTGCAGATGATTACAAGGCCGAGAGACATTGAAGGACCTTTATAGTCTCTATTGCTGCATGAGCTTATAGATCGAATCAGAGCAGGAAACTGTTGTATTTAAGCTGTTTTCAGTGCTTTGCAGAGTGATCGGATGTCTTCATATAACTATATATCAAAGAAAGTAGGATAGATCCCCCCCCCCACCCCCACAAAAAAAAAAAAAATTCAAGGGAAAGGGTTCAATTTTGTATTTGTCCATTTCATTGAGATTTGCTTAATTGTACCGAAGCAGAGGAAGCAGAAATTACGAAAAGCTAATTATTGCTTTCGGAAATAATGAAACCCTTACGGTTTACACTTTTGGTCTGTGGATTTTCAGGTTGCAGGTCTTATGATGAAACCTTTAAGAGTTAATCCTTGCTTCCAATACCCACTTGCAGTCTTGAGATTACCAACAATATCTCCACCACTTTCATTCTTCTCAATCTGGAAGTTGCCGATACGGATCTCAATCCACTCCCCTCGAGGCTCTTCCAAAAGTGGAACTCTACGTTGCTGTACTTTTCCGCCGGGGAGGGTGAGTTTTAGCCTCGAGGGTGTCTCCCACCCGTGTGCCCACTGGGATAACTTGATCACAAAAACAGCCTCATAATCAACCTTGGGAGATAGCTCTGAAGTGTTCAGTCTTCCTTCTATTTCGAACCAGCATACCTGTTTGAGTTTTGCTATCTCGAAATAGTCCCCACTACAAGGGCAATTTGATGAAACTGGTTAAATGCATTTCTTGATTTTTTTTTTCCTTTTTGGTAAGAATGAAAACTTGGGAAGGAAGAAGAGAGGATAGCATGTAAGTACTTATTTCACGAGAGACTATCTAAATAGATGGACGAACTGACCGACAGTGAATCATACTAGTATTACCTTGTTTCTTGAAAGTATTCCCAGCTCCAGTACTCTTCACTTTCACCCCAGAAGATTACCATAGACCTGGGATAGATCATGTAGCAAGCTCTTTTTTTCTTGTCAAACCATTTCTTCTGCACCCATCAGGGTCCAAAATGATCAGAGTGACAAAGATTACGACAAAATAATTTTGGTGGGTTGAATAATAATAATAATACAATACCTTCCTTCTTGGATCAAGAATGACATCACTGCTATGGCCGAACGGCTCCATAGATCAAAATTGAAGAAGGGCTATAATTAGGACAAGGCTAACTTTAAGGTCCCAATATTGCTGTGGTGAAGAGAAATGAGAGGACAGAGTTTTTCACCTAGTATAGTAGCAGTTCAATTTTGGAGTAGATGGTAAAAACAAGTGGAGACGAGAAAAAGGAAAAAGAATAAAGGCAAAGTTTGACCTGTGGTCCTTTTTATATTTAGTAGTACAGCAATAATTTTAGTCCAGCCTTTTCATGTTTCATAAGTAGGGGCCATAATTTTGGTGCGGTCTAAAGCTCTGGCTTCTCTGCTAAAGTATTTCATTGCGGGAATAGGGGTCCTGTTTGTTCCCTGAAAATGATGCAAATTTGAGGATAAGCTGGCTGAATTATACTACTGCAAAAAGAAGAAAAAAAATAAAGATATTACCGAAACAAAATTGACTGCTTCGTTAAAAAAAAAAAAGTTTTGATAGTAAATAATAATAATATTGCTTTAATTTGTGATTCAAATCAGCCTTAAAGACCCGCAAGTAAAAGTACACACAATATGGCAAAACCCGAGTAGTAGTAATTCCTAGCTTGCTTGTTGAGAGCTGAACAACAATTGTCTTCTCACTCACTCCACTCAAGTCTCAAATTGATGTTGGTTGCCTTGGAGGACAACAATACGCTAGATAGGAATAGGATCCAAAGACATCAATGATGGATCTCCTCTTTTGTTGTACTCCCTCCCTCTTAATAGCTTTGATTGTTTGTATTAATCGGATCTCCCTCGAAAAAGCATTGAGACCAATCTTCCCGAACACACACTAGTTTTAACACTTCAATGACAGCCTTTACACTTCAATTGTTAATTGTCTCTCTTCGAAATTAAACCTACTTTTTTTATTTCCTCCCACCCTACCCCACACACTTCTCACCTTGAACTGTCAACCCTAAGATTTGTATCTTAAACTTGACAGCAAGGAGAATGCTATCCTATCCCTTGACGTGCTACAAATTCTTCTCCGTTCTCATCCCATCCCTTATTCTCCCTACCCACCCGCCCGCCCCACATCCCAAGTTGCCTTGGAGGACAACAATATGCTAAATAGGAATAGGATCCAAAGCCATCAATCATAGGTCTTCTCTTTTGTTGTACTTCCTCCCTTTTAATTGCTTTGATTGTTTGTATTAATCGAATCTCCTTCGAGAAAGCATTGAGATCAATTTTCCCGAGCACACTCTAGTCTTTCCGATTCAATGGCAGCCTTTATGCTTCAATTGTTATTTGTCTCTCTTCCAAATTAAACCTACTTTTTTATTTCCTCCCACACTCCCCCACACACCCTAGACTGTCAACTCTAAAATTTGAACCTTAAATCTGATATTAAGGAGAGTGTTCCTCTTTCCCTTGTTGTGCTACAAAAATTCTTCTTCGTTCTCGCCCCATCCCTTATTCTCCCTACCCATCCACCCGCCCCACATCCCAAGTTGCCTTGGAGGACAACAATACGCTAAATAGGAATAAGATCCAGAGCCATCAATCATAGGTCTCCTCTTTTGTTGTACTTCCTCCCTTTTAATTGCTTTGATTGTTTGTATTAATCGAATCTTTCTCAAGAAAGCATTGAGACCAATCTTCCCGAGCACACACTAGTCTTAATGCTTCAATGGCAGCCTTTATGCTTCAATTGTTATTTGTCTCTCTTCCAAATTAAACCTACTTTTTTATTTCCTCCCACCCTCCCCCACACACCCTGAACTGTCAACTCTAAAATTTGAACCTTAAATCTGACATTAAGGAGAGTGTTCCTCTTTCCCTTGTTGTGCTACAAATTCTTCTTCGTTCTCACCCCATCCCTTATTCTCCCTACCCACCCGCCCGCCCCACATCCCAAGTTGCCTTGGAGGACAACAATACGCTAAATAGGAATAGGATCCAAAGCCATCCATCATAGGTCTCCTCTTTTGTTGTACTTCCTCCCTTTTAATTGCTTTGATTGTTTGTATTAATCGAATCTTTCTCAAGAAAGCATTGAGACCAATTTTCCCCAGCACACACTAGTCTTAATGCTTCAATGGCAGCCTTTATGCTTCAATTGTTATTTGTCTCTCTTCCAAATTTAACCTACATGTTTATTTCCTCCCACCCTCCCCCACACACTTCTCACCCTGAACTGTCAAGCATAAGATTTGAACCTTAAATCTGATAGTAACGAGAGTGCTCTCCTTTCCCTTGTTGTGCCACAAATTCTTCTCCATTCTCGCCGCATCCCTTATTCTCCCTACCCACCCGCCCACCCCACATTCCAGGTTGCCTTGGAGGACAACAATACACTAGATAGGAATAGGATTCAAAGACATCAATCATGGGTCTCCTCTTTTGTTGTATTCCCTCCGTCTTAATTGTTTTGGTTGTTTGTATTAATCAAATCTACCTCGAGAAAGCATTGAGATCAATCTTCCCGAGCACACACTAGTCTTATCGATTCAATGGCAGCCTTTCTGCGTCAATTATTATTTGTCTCTTTTCTAAATTCAACCTACTTTTTTATTTCCTCCCACCCTCCCCCACATAATTTCTCACCTTGAACTATCAACTCTAAGATTTGAACCTTAAACCTGAAAGTAAGGAGACTGCTCTGCCTTCCACTGTTGTGTTACAAATTCTTCTCCCTTACTCTCCATACGCACCTGCCCGTCCCAAATCCCAGGTGCCCCCATGGGTGGCCGCTGCCATTTTTTTATTTGACCTTATATGTGTATAACACCTATACCATTGCAATGACCCTGCTTTTAAATTTTTAGCAAAAAATTCAATGTGAAATAATAAAAATCACCTTAGTCTTTTTAATTCATTTTTTAATATTTGGACCATTTGAAATCTAAATCAATAGCAGTTGTTTTTTTTAAAAACAATATACAAAATGTGACGAAAAAATAAAGTAAACTAACATAACAAAGTCATTCTTTTACCACCAAACAATAAATTGACAAGAAAAAATACATCTTTTAACCACAACGAAATATCACATTATTTATTTATTTTATAATAATATAATTTATCCCCTACACCCTCTTCCCGGCCCAAAACTCTTGCCCTACATTTTTTTCTTATTCCTTTTCTTTTTTGCGAGCACTCGCCTCCATTACCATACCTAGTTAAATTTAAACGTTATTTGGATATTATTTGAAAAAAAAATCTTTTGAATCTTTTCTTAAACACATTTTCTAATTATTCTTTGCCTCGTAACATTACCTCATAAAAAGTGATATGGTAACTAAGAATGCTTGACTTGATGTTCTTTCTTTGCATCTTATTCTCACCTTTAATTGTCTGTCCCTCTTCCATTTTTCATTTCAGCTAACCAAGTTCTAGCAGAATCCCCCTTGCTCCTGGCTTTCAGTTCTCTCCGGAACTCATTTCCTTCAACAAATTAATCATGACTAGACCAAGACAATCTCTCCTTACCTCTCTCCCTCTCTAAACAAATACTCATTCATTATAGAACTGGTCTTGGATAATTTTGGAGCTGAATAGTAATTTGAGCCACGGAGTTAAGGTACAAAGCATTTTCTTGCACCACTTTTGGAAATTGGATATGATGGTGTTTGTTTCTTAAAAATTGATTGTAGAAGAAGCTGTGAAGGATTGCAAGTTGAACTTTTGCTTTAAGGTACGTTACAAAACTTGACTTATATATTTACTTTCGGTTTTAAAATGGAATTTTTTAATGGGTGCCTAATTAGTATCAAAGGCAGACATGGGGATGAGCGGGGGCAGTCGTCCCTCTCCCTCCCGAAGTTTTTAAAATTTTAAAATTCTTTTTATGATTTTAGTGGTCAACTAAAATTATATTACTTTGGCCCTCCCCCTAAACATAATTATTAGTAGTTCTTTTGTTATGTTACTTATTTTCTTTTGATAAAGTGTCCTACACCAAACTAACGTTTAGTTTTCTTATAGAAGTATACCATTAATATCAACGTTACCGTACAATTAATACTATTTCTTAATAACAATTACAAAAATATTAAATTTCTTTTAACCAAATTTCTTCTAATAAGTCAACTCTTAATTCTTTGATTATTATAACTTTAAAATAGAAAATAAGGTAACACTGTATAATTTGTACAAGAAATCAAAGACCAAAAAAAAAAAAATTCAACTATCATACAAATTGAAGAAACTTCAACCACTGTTTTGAACATTTTTCTTTATATTTCGTCTTCATTTCTTAAAATTTTCTGATTCCTAATTATAGTCTATTGAATCTTCATTCTACATTTAATATGCTTTATTTGCTATAGAAATTTTCTGTTATCATATCATTGATGGTTGTTCGTCATTGGTTGGTACTCATTAAAATAGTAGTGTTACCTTTTTTTTTCAAAGAAAAGTGAAGTGTTTGAATGCAAGAAGAGGCAATAAATATTTACTAAATCCTGTTGGTTGTATTTTCAATTTTTTGGCCTGCATGATGTTTACTGAGTATCCTAACTGTATATTTATCGACAAAGGTTTTTGTACTTTTTCTTATGCTTAAAGTGATGTCTAGCTCATTTAGTTATTCTTTCTTGTAATTAAACTTTTTTTTTAAGAACTTAAGTCAAGAATGAAACATATGATAGTACTTAAGATTATTGTTCTATTTTACTTCCAAGGTTATTAGAATTAAAAATATTGCAATGGCTATTTATTAAACTATCATGTATGGTAGGATTACTAAATAGAAAATGTTAACCGCACTTCACTTTTTGTCATCGCATGCATATCATTTGTTTTATCATATAATCTAGCACATGAAAATCGTATGATAAAAATTATAATGAGAGTGTGATTAACAAAAAGTGAAGTGCGATTAACATTTTCCTTACTAAATTTGTTCTTCCAATTGAATTATGAGAAGTATTCCGCCAATATCCAATTTTGAGGGTGGAGACTACTGACTAGGGACTAATACAGTGCCACTTATGCACATCTTGTCTGAAGGGATAAGAAAGAGAAAAAAGAGAAAAGAAACATTGATGCAACTTTGTTCATACTTCCTTGAATTATCAAGAAAAGTTTGGATAATTCATGTCATATACCTGGCATTTACTTCTGTTTTACTGGGAATCTTGTTTGAACTTGATTATGAAGCAGTTTGAAGCAGATGCCTGCTACTTATCTCACACAAAGGTTTAATTCTTGCAGGAAGGATCATTGCCATTTAAGCTTGTTCTTTTCACTTTACAGCCACATTTTGCTAGAATGAGCAAGATAACAAACTCAATGGCCTTGGGAGGATGTTGCATGAACAAACAGTGACTAATCTCTTCGGTAGAAGGCAATCATGTTATGATCTTGCACAAAGCCGGACCATTTTTAATATTTAGAGCTAATCCTTGCAAGAAAAACTGGGATTTCTGTTCCTAAGCCTTACATTTTGTTCAGTTGAAAAAGTGAGTGATGGCAGACGCCATTTCGGCATTAGCAAGTCCTATTTTAAAACTGGCTGGCGAAAAACTTGCTTCGTTAATCCAGGATGAGATTCTTACTCTTGCTGGATTCGAGAAAGATGTCAAAACCTTGCAGGATAAGTTCATGGATATCCAAAAAGTTATTGAAGTTGCAGAGAAGAGTCCCCGAAGGTCAGAGGTGACAGATCTCCTTGAAGAGTTGAAAGATGCAACTTATGACGCTGAAAATGTTCTAGACATGCTATCAACAGAGATGCTGATATGGAATGAAATGCGGCAGGTAAATACCTGCCCACCTGTTGCACCTGATTGGATTTTTCGTTTGAAAAACAGGTCAACAGTACATGACATACATGAAATCATGCAAAGGTTTGATTCAATCAAACAGAGGTTTTTAAGTATAAAAGATTTGTTGAGCCATGTCAGAGAAGATTCTGTTGGCAAGGAAAAGGAGAAAGAGGGTCCAGCTGGAAGTAGCCCTGTTATGGATCCTGGGGTTGTCGGCAGGGTAGAGGAGAAAAGTGAAATAATTAAGATGTTGAAATCGAGTGGCAACAGTGTGGAGGGTCGGGTTTCTGTGACCACGATTACAGGTATGGGGGGCATAGGGAAAACAGTGCTTGCTCAGCAAGTGTATAATGACAGTGAGCTGGCTGGGCACTTTGATGTTAAAAGATGGATTTCTGTTTCAGACAGTGAAGGTACAATTAATATGAGCAGAATCTTTGACGAGATTATTGATGCTTGTGCTAAGGATTACATACCTGTCGGTAGCCTGGAATCAAAGCTACAGCACTCTGTGGAAGGACTTAAACTTCTACTTGTCTTGGATGATGTCTGGACTGAAAATCTCGAGGATTGGAAAAAGCTGGAGAAAGGCTTATTGAAAGCACATAACGGAACTAGGGTGATTGTAACCGGTCGAACAGAAAATGTATTTGGTTTGAGTCCGCAGAATGTGCCGATCCCCCATATTTCCTTGGGAAAATTGCCCCATGAGGATTGTCTGAAATTATTTGCCAGAAATGCAATTAACGGGGATGAATCAGACCTAGTGAATAAAGGTGTAAAGGCTATTGCTGATGGAATTGTGAGCAAATGTGATGGTTTACCTCTGGCTGTAGAGGTTATAGGATGTCTTTTAAGAAATAAAGCTCTTGATACATGGTCGGATATCTTGAATAATGATCTGGCCAAGGTAGAAGAGGAATATAGAGATGAGAAGCATAGAACACTATTTGTCCTTAGACTAAGTTATTTTCACCTCCCACCTGAACTAAAGCACTGCTTTTCATTTTGCTCCATATTCCCTAAAGGCCATGAGTTTGACAAAGATGAACTAGTCAAATTGTGGATGGCTCATTCACTGGTTCAGCCGAGTAAGTTGGCAGAAACACTGGAGGATAAAGGACGCAGATGCTTTGACAGGCTGCAAGAGCTTTCCTTCTTTCAGCAACAGCCAGAGTCAGAGAAGTACAGGATGCACGACTACCTTCACAATTTGGCAGAATTAGTTTCTGGAAAGTATTCTTGCATAGTGAAAGGTGAAAATCCAAGTCCCATTGACCCGAAAACTCATCACATTGCGCTAATGTGTGAAAAAGTGGAGGGCGCATCTAAATCCATTAACAAGTGTAAGAAGTTGCGTACCATTCTCATGCCAATGTCTCGTAATTCCTTAACAGACTTTGGTGAGACACTTGGTAAAATGTTCCAGACTCTGAAATACCTACGTGTTCTAGATCTGAGTTCTAGTAGTGTTGTAGAGTTGCCAAAAACACTTGCAGAGTTAAAGCTTCTTTGCTTCCTTAACTTGTCGAGAACTAAGATCAAGTGGCTACCAAATGAACTATGCAGTTTGCTGAACCTGCAAACGCTTAAGCTCTTGGACTGCCCTTGGTTATTAGGATTACCCAAGGGCCTCAGTCGCTTGATCAACTTGAGGCATCTTGAGATTGAGGAGGCATTCTGGAAATACAGGTGCCCCAGGCAGCCACCAAACATTGGTAGACTGACTTCTCTTCATAATCTCCACAAGTTCTGTGTTGGTGAAGCCAAGAAAGGTTTTGGAATTGAAGAATTAAAGGACATGAAGTGCCTTGAAGGATCACTGCATATAATGGAGCTCAATAAAGCAGAACGCGCAGCCGAGGCAAACTTGAAAGACAAACCAAGAGTCCGAGTTCTAGAGTTAGAATGGGCTGCTGAGACTGAGAGAGAGATTGCACGATTGAAAGGTAAAACACCTGATGAATATGATGCCGAGGTTCTGGAAGATCTTGAACCTCATTCAAGTCTCACAAAGCTCAGAGTTCACAGATATTGTGGTAAAAGGACTCCTTCTTGGTTAAGTAGGGGGAAGCTTCAACTTCTGAAAACCCTTATACTAGAGGGATGCCACAACCTTGAAACTCTCATGCTTGGTAGGCAAGAAAATCTTGAAGTTATTTGCATTAAGAATATGCAGAAACTGAGGGAATTCTCTGCACAGCTCGAGTGCCCTGTACTGCACACCCTGAAGATTATCAACTGCCCCGACCTGATTCAGTTGCCCCGAAGCATTCCCGAATTACAAATTTTGAAGGTCAAAAAGTGCAATTCTCTGAAGGTAATTCCTCCTCTGATATATTCTGGAACTCTAGTGCTTGTAGACAACCCTGTACTTGAGGGTTTCCCGGGCAATTACTCTGTGGATTTTCGCGACTTTGGCGCGTATATTTGGAGATGTATGATTACAAATTGCCCAAAAATCCATGGTCTTCCAGCAAAATATTACAACAGCTGCAGTGCATCAATTAACCGTAAACTAGAGATTGGTGAATGTGAATCAATCGATTTTGATCCATTAGAGCCTCTGACACAGCTTGCAATAGATACATGCCGCAGTGATACACTTTTGGAGGCAATGAATATCATCAGTGAGTACAAATTCAGAATCACCAGCGATTCTGTTGTCTCATTGCATTACTTGCAGTCCTTGAGCATTTCCAACATATCAGACTTGATTTCCTTTCCAACATCATGGGAAGTACAAATCACATCACTTTACATTTCAGCCTGCAAAGATTTGGAAGACCTCTTTGATTCTGAACAATCTTGCAAAGGAAGTTTACCACGTCTTGTGAACTTGTGTATTCGTGATTGCCCCAAGCTTTCAAAATTTCCAGAAGAAGGACTGCCTCCCAAGCTTGAACTTCTAGTGGTTCAGTCATGCATCAGCCTTGAATCTCTCGGGCCCCCTGATACCTTAAAAGACCTTACTTCACTGGCAGATGTTTGCATTGTGGATTGCCCAAAGCTTCAGTCATTTCCTGCACAGGGATTTCCCTCATCTCTCCAGCACCTACGTATCCGAGATTCCCCCTTGCTGACAGAAAAAGTTAGCAAAAATGAGAAGGGCAGAGGCCCAGATTGGCCAAAGATCATGAACATCCCTTACCTGGAAATTGATGAAGTCCATCCATCTCCAGCACCAGTCTTTGCTTCTTGTTCCCGGAGTTTGGCATGCTTTAAAGGTACGAGATCATGAACACGAATTTGCTTTTACATGAACACATGGTGCTTTAAATTTAGATTTGATAATTAGGAAACTAATACCTGGACTTATAGTTATCTATAGAACCTCCATGGATTCTTGAGGATTTCATGTCTTTTGCTTAGGCCATTGATTGAAGCAGGATGACGTGTTGCAAGAACAGGAGCTCTCATTGTGGCTCCAGCTTGAAGTCCTCTGTTCGCCTTGTTATTGCTTGTTTGCAGGAAATTTGGTTTGAGTGGTGAAAAATAAAGATGGAATCTGCAGGAATGTTAATAAAGTGCAGTAAGCATGAATCTGCATGAAGATAGATGGATGCCTCTGCTATCGACGCCCAACAATTCCTGGATTTCTTTCCAATCTGTATTCTGCTGAATAAATACCTAAAGAGTATGATTGTTGATGAGTTGTAATTCTATTTCTGGTCAAAATTAATGTTGATGGAAAAAAGAAGCATGCTACTACTAGTGACACTATGTTGTATGGTTTGTGTATTTATATAAATGTACGTTGGCTTTTGTGTACAAGCATGAAATGGAGTGGCTTTTTACTATTTTCTTCATATATATAAATATATATATATATATATTATAGATATAAACATGTAGTGGTTCAACTATAATTACATGATGATTAATAAATATCTATTGCAATAACATAACCAATTTAAAGTGCTTAATCAACAATTAGATCTATTCCTTCTTTAGTTCTTTTGAAAATCCCTCCCAAGAAATCATTTCTCAAAAAATGCACTAATTACTACTATTAGGTTTCCCAAAACTTCAAATGTGATTATGTTGATAACAAAATTCCACCACTTATTTGATGCTCAATTTATCATGTGAGTTATAGCCTTAAATAATTAATTAGAATTTTGCCTGCGTATTAACACGGTTTTATTTATTTATTTATTGTGAATTTATACAAATATGAATAATTTAAATATAAAAAGTAACAATAGTACTACATTTTCGTTCATATTAATTTTAAAAAATTAAGGCTATAATTTTTATTTGATGCTCAATTTATCATGTGAATTATAGCCTTAAATAATTAATTACTCTAACAATTATTTTAAAAAAATAAAAAAACCTGTAAAATAGTTTAGTTGATCCCAGAAAACAAAATAAATTAAAAAAGATAAAACTCCCTCACTAGTCACTACCCCAGTCCCATTTCCGACTGGATAAGAGAACTCAAAACACTAGAATTCTTTACCTCTTCCCAGTTCCCACCACCGTCTTCCTCAGCCATGTCCGCCATCTCTTCCCTCTCTTCCTCCTTCTCCTCCCTCACCCTCAAGCCCCCCAATCCCAGCTCCCATGGAACCCCCAATACCCCACTCTCCTTCGCTCTCCACTCTTCCTTCATCCCACTTTACAAAACTCCCATTTCCAAATCATCATCTTCATCATCCCTTTTTCTCCCTTCATCCCATTCAGCTCCACTCCCCCTCATCACCTCCTCCATGGAAGCCGGCATCGGCGTGATGGGGACAAAGCTCGGCATGATGTCGTGTTTCGAGGAGTCAGGAACTGTTGTGCCTGTGACTGTAATTGGGTTTAGGGAGGGGAACATTGTTACTCAGGTGAAAACTGAGGCGACTGATGGATACAATGCTGTTCAGGTGGGCTATCGCCGCGTTCGGGATAGGAAATTGACTAAGCCGGAGATGGGACATCTTGAAAAATCTGGGATTATTCCGTTGAGGCATTTGCAGGAGTTTAGGCTGCAGAGTGTGGAGGGGTTTGAGGCCAATCAACGCCTTGTGTTTGATGAATTGTTTAAGGAAGGGGATTTGGTGGATGTTTCTGGGACCACTATTGGCAAAGGATTCCAAGGTAATTATCCAATGTGTTTGCTTGAATTAAGCTGCTTCTTGATTTGATGAAATGCTTTGGTTGGAATTCACAAGAATTATTCTAGGGAGTGGAGAAACAACGAAACCTATAGCTTGGCATACGGATAATTGATATTTGAGGGAAATTAGCTTGGTGGTTGTCGACTACTTTAGCAAAAATGGTGCTACATTTTCCTGCACTTTATGAACGTATAATAAGCAAGGAGTTTTGGTTTTTTACCACTCATGCTGAGAAGGGTTGGGACCTGGGAAGTATCCCAATTAGTTAATTGGCTTCTTATAGGGATGTTTAATTCGATGCCATTGTCTCGCAAAAGCCCTGATAAAGAAGACGGTAGAATACACACACTGGTTATAGTTTAATGGACAGAATGGGTTTGGAAGGATTCCAACTGAGATTAATTCCTTTCGATGTTCAGTTAGATGCTAGCATTATTTTTAAAGTTCTAAAAGTTTTATCTTGATTGGTCGTCTTTCTTGTTGTCACATTACTAATTTCTGGCGGATTAAACCTCAATAAAAGGATAATGGCACACTATTTTCTGGTCCATATATGTGTATGTTAGCACATTAGCACTTGGTGAGGTGAATGCAGCCAAGTTTATACCTTGGAAGTTCAGTGTAATTAAATTAAACCTCAAATCGTTGCTTTTTTTTTTGGGTGCTTGCTCTTGGTTGTCATTTTATTGCGTCCATTATTTCATTAGTAAATAAAATTTCTGCCAGCTTTTAATAATATGCAGTATCATGCTTTACCTTTGTGGTATTTGAGTAAGTGACATGCTTCAATTTGGTACGAGTCATTTTTGATTATAGTGGAAAATAAGCAATCTTAAGTTTACCTCGCGGGAAGCACACTAAGTCCATATGCTTGGGATAGACATGGATTATGGAGGATGAACACTTCTATACTCATAAACATGAGGATTACTATGTGAAGAATGGACAAACCAAGTACAAGGGGCATTGATAAGGAAAGGAAGAAAAGGATGTTAAATGTATAAGGCCTATGTATCAGACCTTCAACATCTGGCTTCTCAAGGTTTTAGATTGACATGATTAGTTTCTTAAGGACCCTGATTTTTTTGGAATTGTTGTCAGATTGCATTTTGCCTTAGCTACAACTGTGGTTGTGTTTATGTTTTGTCAGCCTGCCTGATCTGCCTCAGTTTATAGTTTATCACAATGTCCAGTATATACACATATTAATGTTATTGTTAAGTGGAAGTCGTGAGAAAATTGTTTCTTCTTCTTTTGTTGTTTTCCTTAAAAATCTGTTTTATACTCATTTCGTACCTGGTAGCTTGGCATCAAAGATTCTTGGGGGTTGATTAGTTTAAAAAAAGGGAACTTGACACCATTGGCAGAAGACTTTTCCCCTTTCTTTTGTTCAACGAAAAATCAAGTTTATGTGGGTTTAACCCATTATGGCAACTGGTAACTTTTAACTTCTTATTACATCACAACAATGTGCAGATAAGCTGATATAATCTGTTTATGACAATCTAACACCAGCTGGATTTTCATAATTCTCCATTTAGTTTACCTGTAATTTGGATGTTGCTATTAATGTGATCACATTGAAAACAAATTCCTCTGTTTCATTGCTAATATTCATCATTTATAACAAATTTAAGGGAATGGTTGTCTCATGTTTCACATAGCCAAGGTTTAGTGTTTCTCCACATCAGCATAACACACTATTTGTTGTAGGACAAATTTTAGTTGTCCTTAGAACGTTATAAACAAGTATGGTCCTTCTGGCCAAGGATTTTGCAATTCATTGCTATCCAGATGAAAAACGTTCGCCGTGTTTAGTTCATTCTTATCATTCTTTTGTTTCCCTATTTGTTATTGGTGTCATTCTTGGCACTTCTGTTTTATGTTGCTATCTGCGTTTAGTCATTTTGTGGGACATGACTCTTGACTTGAGCATTTTAAATTTGGCTACTAGGCGGAATCAAGAGACACAACTTCAAGAGAGGCCAAATGTCACACGGATCGAAGAGTCATAGGGCACTTGGATCAATTGGTGCTGGAACAACTCCTGGACGGGTATACAAGGGAAAGAAAATGCCTGGAAGAATGGGAGGTACCAAGAGAAAGATTAGGAAGCTGAAAATTATCAAGATCGATAATGAGCTTAGAATTGTGATGGTTAAAGGTGCTGTACCTGGTAAGCCAGGAAACCTTCTCCGCATAACTCCAGCAAAAATCGTTGGAGTGAATATACCCAAGAACTAGCTCTCTCTCTCATTCTCATGACTCAAATCTCTGTAATTTACATATAAGTCCCAAGCTTACTCCCAGCATTGATTCAGAGTTTTGGATGTCTCACCTTGCCTCTTGTTTTTGGTTTCCCCAGAACGTAGCTGTTTTAATTCTGAGGAGTTAGACAGAACTAGGAAACAACTTCACTCTCTTAGAGCCTGACTATATATATATATATATATATATCGAGTTGGCATTTATTTTGATGTCTATAGGCTTTCCCAACTAGTCCCTATTCTTTTTCATTCAGATGGCAAAGAGTAGACTCGAGCACTAGCCTATAAATAGCCACTGCATGTGTAACTACTCGAAATCGTTTGGATGGTAATAGGGGGTGGAATTCAACCACTGCTAGTTTTGTTTCCCTTGCTTGCATGAACGAGTATCTATGCATTGAAGTCCGTCCTAAAGTTGCCTTCAACAAATATTCAAATATTTCTACCCAAAATCTATTTTTGGGCCTGCGGCAATAGAGAAGATTAACATAGAAACATAGGTAAAACTAAGTGTAAAACGACGTTTTCTAAAAGGTTTACATATATATGAAAAAATGGGTGATTTATCAGGGCCAGCCTTTACAGCAGCTTTATATTCTGCTTATACTCTGGTCTGGACAGGCTGCAGGGGAGGGAAATCAACCATATGGTACCTTTATCGCTTTCATTTTTTTTATCCTGTTCCAGTTTCACCATAGGCTGATATAAGTAGATTACACATATTCCACTGGACGTGGATTTCTGTTGATAATTGACATTCCAGAAATCTTTTCGCAACGAAACAACTTTCAGAGATTCATATGTAGTTTCTTAAAATTCATGTTCAGCACCTCATTCTTATCAAAGAAAATTGGGATGCCATATGGGTATTTGATCTAAAATTAAGCTGACTGGCCATCTCTGCTGTTCTAAAGAAGTGGATGTAGTCACTGCATTCAAATGGCTTTTTGTTTGCGAAAAGTAGACGATATGACATCCAATATTTCAAGTTTTGTTGAATTACGTTCATGATAGGGCGGAAGTTTTCTTATAATCGATGGAAGGGGGCAAGAAAATTTGTCTAACTAAAAATTGTAAAAAAACTGGACAGAATTAATTAATTAGAGACGCTCCTGATCCAGACTAGCCCATCATAGATAGACTGACATCGACTTCCAAGGCTCAAGCGCGTCCCAAACGGAGCTTAATGTGTTTTGACAGTTTGAGAGCAAGACTCAAGCGCGTTACTTACTAAAGTTTAATATTATTGTTTCCCTGTATGATAACGTCTGTGTCCGTTGACCAGGAAAGAATCTTCGTTCTTGAAGGTTTCTACATTTTTCTGTATTAATACAAACCAACCCTCAAGAAACACAAGCAGCTGACAGAAAAGGGCTTGCTTTTTTTCTTTTTTTTTTTGAGGGTTTGTGTATATCACGAAACACA